CTCCCTCCTAGATTACGAATAGAACACCCCACTGGGTCACAAGCCCTCAGGGACCCACTTCCGACAAACTGACACAACAGCATTGCTGCCCACCATTGGACACTGCCATCCTACCTTGAGCAAGAAAGTTTTGGGTTTGGGTCCTCGCTTTTTGGGGCCATAGAGCTCCATCTCTCGTTCCCTGCAGAAAGGGAGGAGGGAGAAGAGTGTGTGAGTAAAGAAACCAAGTGGTACTCTAGTTCAGGCTGGGCAGGAGCCTCCCTTCGTGTTCCTAAGTGAGAAACTGAAGCTTAGAAGGGCCTGTACCTTTCCTCAAAGGCTGCGAGCAGGCGAGCATCCAGGATGTTTTCTTCGGGTTCCCATGTGCTGTACCTAAAGGGAATCAAGAAGTGGGCGTCAGTCCCGGGAGCAGGGAAAGAGCAGTGTGTGTGTGTGTATGTCTGTAACTTTTCTTGTTGCATTGTATTGTATTTCAATGTAAAGGAAAAAAAGAGGAAGAAAGAAAGCTCCCGAATAACAGCCTGGGGTTGAGAACTGCTTAGAACCTACTTACTTCTGCGACCAGCCCTTCCATTTCACGAGGTATTCCATGCGTCCCTGCGGATGCAAAAAGGAAAATGTGTGTGTGCACAGGCAGAAATGCATGACGAGGACACGAGAAATACATGCAAAAAATGCATGCACCGAATGAATGCGCGAAATCCCACCGCGAAAGGCACGCGCCCGCTGCATCACCCCCTGCACGAAACGCTGCACAAAGTGCATGCACCGGCATTCATTACCCCCCACCCCGCCCCCCACCCATGCAATCTGTGCATCGCTGCAAGTCTAAGGAAAGCGCTTGGGCTCAGAGCCGCCGCCACGGCCGCGGCCGCTTCTGGGACCTGGGGGAAGGGAAGCTGGGCTGCAGCAGGGGGAGGGAACCCGGGCCGGGAGGGGAGAGCTCGGCCCAAGGCCCGGGGGCACCTACTTTCCGTATGCGCCGCTTCAGGAGGGCTTCGGCCGCGAACACCCGCTCCCCCACCGCTGAAAGCTCCATGTTGACTCGCCGCTTCCCCCCTTGGCCGCTTCCAGGAGCAGAAAAGCAGCAGCCAGCGCACGACAGACCATAATACTCTCCCGCTGACGTCAGTTCTCCTCCCCCCTCCCGCGCGCTCGCTCCCTCCCCGCC